AAAATGCTCAAGATTGCTTGCCTCTAACGACCTAAAGTGACGCCGCGAATTTTCAAAACGAAGACCCAAAAACGAAGACCTAAGACCTAAAACCCCATGAACTAAAACGAAGACCCCTTTGACTAAAAGGAAGACCCCATGGACTAAAACGACTGATGCTAACCGCTGAGGACAATGCCCGCTGTCGTAATTTGTTACGGCGATTTGGGAATGTTGTGGAATTTCCTCTGGAGTATTTACTTGTGATAATCAAGTCTATCACTTACCTTTCCTTCAGGTTTCTTTGAAAATAGGGTCATCTAGTGTGTTGTGTGATTATAATGCGCCCTCGGTGAAGAGGATTGGCGTGACAAGCCCAAAGGTCATCAGCGTGACCATGGGAGGCCAGACAATCAAAAAGGCTTATGACAGGATTTGTCTTGAAGACTTCCGCCAAACGCAATTTTGGCGCGTAGTTGGGGTTTGGGGGAGGAGGGGGTCCATTGGCTTTCTGATATTTTACGGTTCAAAATTCAATGTCGGATGATTTGGGTGTCATCCTAGCCTCCCACGCCACAGGGTCCAGAGGAGATGCATTTGTCGTTAGAACATCAAAACCCCCCGTCGAAAACCTCTGAAAAAATGGGTTATTTTGATCGCGTTACAGTTTCGTTACACAGGGTAGGTACTTCATATATGATTATTATTATGTACCGTAATATACTTATTATATCTTATTATATAGTATAATTATATACAACACCATATACCCCTATATACCCTATACAACACCATATACCCCTATATACCCCTATATACCCTATACAACACCATATACCCCTATATACCCCTTCGCAACACCATATACCCCTATATACCCTATACAACACCATATACCCCTATATACCCTATACAACACCATATACCCCTATATACCCCTATACAACACCATATACCCCCATACAACAACATACACCCCCTTACATAACCATACACCACCTATACATCACCATATACCCCTATATACCCCTATATAACACCATATACCCCCATATACCCCTATACAACACCATATACCCCCATACATAACCATACACCACCTATACATCACCATACATCCTATACATCACCATATACCCCCATATACCCCTACACAACACCATATACCCCCATACATAACCATACACCACCTATACATCACCATACACCCTATACATCACCATATACCCCTATATACCCCTATACAACACCATATACCCCCATACAACACCATACACCCCCTTACATAACCATACACCACCTATACATCACCATATACCCCTATATACCCCTATACATCACTCCATACATAACCATACACCCCTATACATCACCATACACCCCTATATATCACCATACACCCCTATATATCACCATACACCTCCATACATAACCATACACCCCTATATATCACCATACACCTCCATACATAACCATACACCCCTATACATCACCATACACCCCTATACATTCCCATACACCCCTATACATCACGATACACCCCTATAGATAGAGATACACCATACACATCACCATACACCCCTATACATCACCATACACCCCTATACATCACCATATACCCCCATACAACACCATACACCCCCTTACATAACCATACACCACCTATACATCACCATATACCCCTATATACCCCTATACAACACCATATACCCCCATACATAACCATACACCACCTATACATCACCATACACCCTATACATCACCATATACCCCTATATACCCCTATACAACACCATATACCCCCATACAACACCATACACCCCCTTACATAACCATACACCACCTATACATCACCATATACCCCTATATACCCCTATACATCACTCCATACATAACCATACACCCCTATACATCACCATACACCCCTATATATCACCATACACCCCTATATATCACCATACACCTCCATACATAACCATACACCCCTATATATCACCATACACCTCCATACATAACCATACACCCCTATACATCACCATACACCCCTATACATTCCCATACACCCCTATACATCACGATACACCCCTATAGATAGAGATACACCATACACATCACCATACACCCCTATACATCACCATACACCCCTATACATCACCATATACCCCCATACAACACCATACACCCCCTTACATAACCATACACCACCTATACATCACCATATACCCCTATATACCCCTATACAACACCATATACCCCCATACATAACCATACACCACCTATACATCACCATACACCCTATACATCACCATTTACTCCTATATACCCCTATACAACACCATATAACCCTATATACCCCTATACAACACCATATACCCCCATAAACCCTATACATCACCATACACCCCCATACATCACCACACACCCCTATACATCGCCATATACCCCTATACAACACTATATACTCCAATATATCCCTATCCACCCCTATACATTGCCATATACCCATATACAACACCATATACTCCTATACATCCCCATACACCCATACACATCACCATACATCCCTATACATAACCATGTGTCCCTATACATCACCATACACTCCCATACATAACCATACACCTCTATACATCACCATACACCCCTATACATCACCATATATCCCTATACAACACCGTATACCCATCTACAACACAAGATGCTCCTATACATCACCATACACCCCCATATATAACCATACACCCCTATACATCACCATACACCCCTATACATCACCATATATCCCTATACAACACCGTATACCCATATACGACACCATATGCTCCTATACATCACCATACACCCGATACATCACCATACACCCCTATACATCACCATATATCCCTATACAACACCGTATAGCCATATACAACACCATATGCTCCTATACATCCCAATACACCCCTATACATTCCCATACATCGAAATACACGCCTATACAACACCATACATCCCTATACATCACCATACACCCCATACATTCCCATACACCCATATACATCGCCATATACCTCTATAGATCACCATACACCCCTATACATCGCCATATACCCCATACATCACCATACACCCCTATATATCGTCATATACCCCTATACAACACTATATACTCCTATACATCTCCATACACCCCAATACATTCCCATACACCCCAATACATCACCATACACCCCTATATATCACCATTCACCTCTATACTGCACCATACACCCCTATACATCGCCATATACCCCTATACAACACTATATACTCCTATACATCCCCATACACCCATACACATCACCATACATCCCTATACATAACCATATATCCCAATACATCACCATACACCCCCATACATAGCCATACACCCCTATACATCGCTATATACCCCTATACAACACTATACTCTCCTATACATCACCATACATCCCTATACCTAACCATATATCCCAATACATCACCATACACCCCCAGACATAGCCATACACCCCTATACATCGCTATATACCCCTATACAACACTATACTCTCCTATACATCCCCAGACACCCATACACATCACCATACATCCCTATACATCACCATATATCCCAATACATTCCCATACACCCATATACATCGCCATATACCTCTATAGATCACCATACACCCCTATACATCACCATACACCCCTATACAACACCATATACTCCAATACATCCCCATACACCCCTATACGTCCCCATACACCCGTATACATTCCCATACGCGTCTCTACACATCACCATAAAACCCTATATAGTTTTTTATGTGTGTCATTGTCCCATTTTATTTCTAGATGCCTTACATTCAGCAAAGCATATATAGCATTAATTCTTGTCAAAGCTCGCTACTAGTGGTGTGCCTGCATAGCATGGCTGCCCCCGTGGTGGTAATAGCTGTCTGCAAAAAGTCCTTTAATTGCTTAAATTCCAAACTGATAGTGGCTTAAAAAGGTCAATCTAACATCACGTCGCAGTCGCGCAACGGCAAAGTAAAGTCGTAGTGTTTTGCTAATCCAAGCATATTCTTATTGTTTTTGGGGCGTTCTCGTTGGCTTCGTTTTCGTCGTTTCTTGGTTCGAAGAGTAAGCCGGCCGACTTGTGCCGTTATGGGACTGGGGGGTGGAGGGGGGAGGGGGCGGTGAGATTAAACAATGGACTGAAGCGAATGCAAATGAGTCTGATTTCCGCAGTTCCTCCGCAATTCGGCTACTAGCTCCAAGGTCAGTAGAGAAAACATTATTTATTTAATTCATCTATTTATTTATTTTCATTATTGGTATATGACCTTCAAATTTCAAGTTCATCAATAAAAACGATATTGAATTATAATTATATGTACTGGCTGGAGATACCGTACTCTGTTGAGCTTTTCACTCAAAATCTAATTCACAAATAGCCGATGGGTATATTTGCTAAATACATTGCAATCGTCGGTAACTAAAATTTATTTAGTATATATCCACTCAGGCTTGGTGTTTTTGGGCTTTCTGATTGGTTGATAGTTATCTCCTAGGCCAAGCTCTTTCACAGTATATAATCAACAAAAGCATAAATAAACTTCAGACATTCATTAATAATTCATTAAAAACAAAACAAAACGAAGAAATTTATGTTGGTAAAATGAGTGTCTTTATGTCTGATAAAAAAACGGCTAACCTTTACGTTTAATTTTTAGGCCATAATAACCACAAATCTAAATATATTTGTGCAAAAATGAGTTCATCTTTAAAATTAGCGGAGAATTTGAAGCCATTCAAAACAACTCGCAGCTCGCAATTGTGTATTCCCAGGTGTAAAACCTCTCGGCTTCACAAATTTTTTAAACCTGATTATACACTCATGCACATTTTTTTAAACAGTGCACCTTTCCCTCAATTCGCCTCCCCTCACTCGCATAGTTTGATGGCTGGCATTATCTCTCATGATCTCTGACCCGAGGTTGAATTTGTAACCCTGTTTCTGTTTCTTGTTCAAAAGCTCAACAATTATTATGTTCTGACAAATGTGCGATTTTTGCCGCTACTTGAGCTGTACTTTTTCGTTCAATCGTTAAAGACATTTCCTTAACCTTGTCCGATTCTGCAACAAAGTTGTACAGCGTTGAAAAGTTTGATGAATTTCTTGGAAGCTCTCTAATGAAGAGAATTTCCTTACAAACTACTAGACACAATGTTTCTAGCAGTCTCCAAGGTCCCGAGGTCACTGGAGCTTTCTGTCTTTCCATAAACTCTTTTCCTCGTTGTCTCTTGTAGGTTGAAATGGTAGCTCTCCTTCTTTTCCTTCCTGTGCCTGGTGAAGCGGAAACACCGCCAATTTGAAAGATATTTCCACAGTTGTAACATTTGCATGACTCGGTACACCCGAGTCCTTCAGCAACGCATGGACATTTTCTTTTTCTTTTTCCATCTCTGCACGATACACGACCTTTATCTTCTTTGTTTAAGGTATTACAACATGTACATCCGCGTTTGCGTTTGCGGGTTTCGCCTAATTGTCTCCCTCCCTCAGTGGCAGCATTATTTTTGTTCTTACAATTGAAGCAGCGACATTTTCTTGAGCACGCTTGACTTTTTCTGTTACAAGGACATTTAGAAGATGTACAAGCCATTTTGGAAGGGTCTTTCACATTCTTGCCACAGGTACATCTGGTTTTAGTCTCATTTCCTTCCGTTTCATCATTCGAATTCAGAAACTCTGGAAACATACCAGAGAAAAAATACAGTGTAAGTAAAACATATATCATCATCATGATTAATTATAATTATTACAATTATTATTATCCTATGGACTAGTTGATTTTTAAGATATCCACGTTTCAAATGATAGACACTCGTTTTTTTCTTCATCTGTAAATAAGAGAGTATCTTCTTTGATATTTATGATTGAGTGATTGCCAATCCAATAGGTAATAATCCCGGCGTCGACGCCATATGTGGGTTGAGTTTGTTGCTCTTCATCTCCTTTGCTCCGAGAGTTTTTTTTTGCCGGTAGCATTTCCAAATCCCAATTAGATCAGGAATCAGGTAGAAGAAGAACCACTTTGCGGATGTGTTACCTCTAAATCATTATTTATTTCTTTATATATTTATTTGCTTATTTAAAAGACCTTGCACACACACGGGCAGGAAAACGTACAAATGCCAATAACAAAATCATCCAAGCAAACGTGCTACACTTAAACAAGGCTTAAGACGGAATCCGTCAGGAAACTGAGTAATTTTGATTTTCAGTGGACAAAAATCTTGTACCAGAACAATTTATTTAACCTCGCATTCTTTTTCACATTTTTCTAGGGCTATGGATATATAAACAGTTATCTGTAATAACACCAAAGACTATTTCTGATGGGAACCCGAGAAAATAAATGTCAAATTTCACAAGAATTGTGAAAACACAGGTAAAGTTCTGAAAATTCATGTGTAAGGTGTCATTTTGTGAAATTTGACATTTATTTTCTCTGGCTCTCATGAGACATTTTCTTTTCACATTCTTTGGTGTTACAGATAACTAATTGCATCCATAGCCCTTGAAAAATATAAAAAAGAATGCGATGTTGTTTGAATTATTCTGGTATTTTTGTACACTGAAAATTAAAATTACTCAATTTCCTAGTGGATTCCGTCTTAATGCCTTATGCATGCTTATTTACCTTTTGTAGCGTCATAATGCCCTGGACCTGAATGGTCGTACGCCAGATACATAGGTACAGCAGTGATGAAATGTTTTGGTAAAAATGGAATGGATGGGACATTAGGCAAAGCTGTAATTACAATTATCGGGACACGGAGGAGATTAGCACATGCCTTAGCACAGATGTCGCCAATGTCACTTGCGAAATGGCCATCAGTTTTAAAACGTTCAATTTCCCGTACATTTGACGAATAGGACATCCACTCCCTGTATTCATCGAGATTTTCAGTGACTTCACGCACGAAAAGTAGTCTCAGGTTTTCCGTGTCACGTTCCTCGTTGATTCCAAGCCCCAGTGAGGAAATATGCTGTAGATTTTGTAAATCCGAACGTTGCAAGTGTTTTTGTAGCTGCCGGGCTGTTGCTCTGAAGAAGCAGTTTCCGTCTTTGTTAATTGGGTCCAACTGAAGATTAAATCCTGTGAGATTTCTTAACAGGTTATCTTTGTGCTGTGGGGTCAAATTTAATTCCATAACGTTTAACTTTGACTCCTGTTCATAAAGGTTAGCTGCCGGTAAGTTTATCTTCCAGAGAAGACTAATCAAATCTATTGTTTTGTTGTTACATTTTGTTGTCCAACTGGCGATAAATTCTTGTATGTGCAGCGCTCGTTCCAAAATGTAGTTCAAGACGGAATCGTTTTCCAGTTCTTCCACAGTCTTAACTGTGACGAAAACGGATGATGTCCCTGGCATTCTACTAGCCTTACTGCTATTTTTAGAGACAGTTCCAGATATTGAACCGGGTAATGACGTTGACGTAGAATCCACAGCCGTCATGTGAGACTGAACATAAGGGGTCGCTTGGTTTAAAGACTCTAAAGGCTCTAATTCAATTGGCGTGATCGGAATTGTTCTCTTATTGAGTGTTGTTTTTATTCTTCGTTTGCAATTCCATGCATACAAGGCACACGCCATTACCGCTACCGCCAACTCAGGTCCAATTTTGGATACTCCGCACAGTAATGATCGGTTAAGATGTCTGTGAAGTCGCTCATTTATTTCAGTCCCACATCCAACAGGTATTTCCGAGAGACATCCTTTCTTTATATGCTTGCGCAAATTTTCAATTTGAAGAAGGGTTTCCGTTTTCAGCTTTTCTCTCCAAACAAATAGAAGACGTTCAAGATTTGATTCTATTTCATCAGGACAAGGTGTGCTCATTGTTCTCTCGTTACCAAGGTCTCCATTTTGACGGAAAATTAAAGAAAATTCATTAGCAAATTGTTTACTGTAATCTTCGCTTTTGGGTACCGTTTGTACAACTCTCATACACGCGTGAAATAAGTCTAGCCGAACCTTTATCCCCGGGAATATTTGTCCATATAGGTTCATCACGTGGCAACAGTCATCCACTATTATCATTTTTAAGTTAGTGCTTGCCTTATGAAGCCTCTCTTTCAGTTCTTTAACTGAATCGATAATTTCGGACGAAGAAGTCGTCTTCGTAAACTTCCACATCATAACTTCTCCGTTTTCGTTCACCCCCAAGAAGACGTTTTTAAACTGTCCTACAAACTTGCCGTCCTCGCGGGTTACCCCGATATGTTTACTCGTTCTAAAGGTGTGGTCACAGGACAGAATCTCCCCTGTGTGTTTCTGCATGTTATTCTCATAACGTTTCTTGTTCCGCTCAAACTGCATGAGAAACAAATCCATTAGTTTATCGTTGCTTGGATAGGCAATGAAAGGAATACTCTCAAACTCCTTTACAGATAACTCTTTGCTGTCCGGTTTATTACGCATGTACTGTCTGTAATTCATTGATGCAATGCCTTCAGATAATTCCATGAAGTTTTGTCCTTGATAAATACCAGTTATTAAATAATCATAAAGACGCAGCGTAAAACCGCTTCTCTGCTGCATTATAAGAGGAAATCCCTTAACAACACTTTCAGGGAGAGTGCCTAACACATCGTTTGATGCGGACCGAAATACCGATGTCCAATCATCACGTTTTCTGGCAAACTTTCACTGCATTCATAGAACGCCTGCACCAGAATAACATTTCCGTTCAAGTCGTAAATCAATCTTGGGTTTCTTGGACTTGTGTTCGAGGAGTCAGGAAGATCGGTCCACTGTCCGACTTTCAGAGGACAGCCATGGATAGGACATAAAATAGTCAAACCGTAATGTCTTATTGGACACCAGATAAATAATTTTGGTATTAATTTTGACATAGCGTGTGGCCCTTCAACAATTTGATCAAACCTTCCATTTTGCGGTGTACACTCAAACTCTCTTAAGACATCCCGCAGATATTGTCCTTCTTCTTTTCCAAGAAGAACACAGATGATTGTTTTAAATCCCAAAACAAAGAATAAGCAAGAAACAATGATTAAATTTCTCATTATGTCCCCTTGATGTCGAACATCTAACTGTCGCTGGGTGGCATCGATCTTGGTAATATACGGTTCAGCCGGGATCAAAGTGCTACAAAGCTTGTGCAATTTATTTCGCAACGTTTTACTTAGTTATATTACTCCACGAGCCATATTTCATGTGACCTACCAAATTAAGCCGTTTACTGCATGTCCATGAAAGTCAGGAAGTACATTCAATATACCTTAGTAAAGTGTGAGCATTTTTTTTGTTCACTGTAATGACAGTGTAATGATCGCTAACCCCTGCCGTATGCAAACCGCAACAGCGGGTCTTAATTTACAGTTTCCATCACTCAATCAAACTAGCGGCTCTTTTTCTCGCCCTGAGAAGAGCTTTTTTTGTATGAATTTCCCATTTAATTTACAGTCTTGGTTTTTATTCAGCATATTTTTTGTCTAGTTGGCCACCAGCTGTGCCTGATATTTGTTTTTAAACAACAACCAGGCAGATATGGTAGGAGGGAAATATGAAACACATTTTTTTTTGTTGATTGTTTTTTTCAATTTTACGTCCCTTTACAGTGCTTGGTGTCCCTTGCGAGTTTATAACAACATTGGTTTCATGTTCCAATGCGTAATAAGGTTCATTCATAGTGCTGAAGATGGAGAGATGGCGTTTCAAGACGTAATTCATGCAGTCGAGATAGTTCTTGATATCGTATCATCAAAGATGCCAAGTCTATACTCGTTCCTTTCTTTCTCACTTAACTTTTATTTTACTTTGGTTCATTTGTTGTCATATTGATTGTTTTGATACTAACATCTTCTTCTTGTTGTTGTTGTTGTTATATTTTGTTGTGTTTCATCAATGCGGTTTGAAGCGCAAGGTCTTCTTTATTGTGGAAAAGCGCTTCTGGTGTGAGATAAATTTACAAAAGCTGAAGGTTCTAAATGAAACTGCAGTTATGGTTGGCGCCATTTGACTGCACATAAATTCAGACCCAGATACAAGCCTTTTTCCACTCAAAGAAGCTTTATAAAAATAGTTACATTAATTAACTTGTTTATACATCTTAGCCCATGTTTCCTCCACTTTTAAATGGAACATGAAATTCCAGCTATCACGGCAAAAAGAAACCTGACATGAAGCTAAGCACGATTTTGTAGTACTCCTCTACTGTGCACATGTCCGCTTTAGAGAGGTGTCTGTATTATAGAGGTAGGCAATGTATAATTTTTGGCATTTCTGGGACCAAACGAACTGTCCATAATAGAAGGGTGTCGTATTTTATAGGTGTCCGTATCGAGAGGTTCGACTGTATTACTGCGCAAATTCGCACGTGGATATGATCAAAAGCGTGCAAATAATAATAGTGCGAATAATAATAATAGTAATAATAATAATAATAATAATAATAATAATAATAACTTTATTAAATCTCAAACTTCTAGCTTAGCACAAGTGCTGAAACTAATCGGTCAGTCTAAATCACCCTCTTCCCCAAATATCGATCAAGGGCAGACAATAGTCTTTCAGTTTTACGTACTGCGACGATTTTATTAATTTATTGTTTAATTATAGTTTATATTTAACTTAAGAAAACGTATATCTGAATATTCTTATCTTATGAATAACTGGATCATCAAAACGCAGGTGTATTATCTCATATTTAAACAGTCAACGAACGTTCCTCCGTTAATTGGATTTCAACAATTGTGCTGTATGCGTAAAACTGACATCCTTAATTACTTATACCAGGAGTTGTTAGAAGTGCCCTCGAAAATTATACATCGTTGGGTACCCCTGACTCTGAAATACGTGATTGTTGTCTGTGGAATCTGTAGTGCGGCTGAAATCTTCGAGTTTTTCAGGGAATTCGGAATCTTGAATCCTATACTAAATACCTGGAATACAGAATCCAATACTTGCAATTCGAAGTCCACGATGTAGAATTCAGAATACGAGACTGTCTTGGATTCTTTACATGCATTCCTTGGCTTAGAAATTCTATCGAGCTCTCAACAACTTTAATATTAACCGCTTTACTAAATCCAAATGACAACCAGTAGCAGTCGCCACTATTAACAAGAGGCCTCTATAACTGTAAAGGATTGGAACCTAATCGCCTAAACGATTAGGGCAGAAACTAATTCAAATGTTTGTAATTATCTTAGTAAGAATCCTTAAGGTGATCCCCCCCTATATTGCTTTTATCTTTTATCTTTTTTTGGGGGGGGGGTTATTAATCTATGTGTTCATTTTTGATGCTAACTGGTTAAAGAGTAAAAAGCAGAAGTGGAACTGGAGGTCTTAGTGGCATCATTGGTTCTTCACGAACGTCCTGATCTCAGTCGAGAGGAGGGAGGTGATTGTGATAAGGCGTCCTTAAGAAGTTCCGCCGCCGGCTGTCTCCAACCTTTCACTTCTTTGTTTACCGGTAATTTGCGTTTCTGCAACAACAAAAAAAGCATACGTAAGGATCTGACTTCTGGCAAACTTTCAACTAGAAGCCATCATCTATATATTCAACGAACTTTTTCTTCATAAGTGCACTTGACGACCATGTACAAATCATACTTCATCGGCTGGGGTGGGAGGTACTTCCTACTTGAAAAAAGGGCTTTCCACAAGTTGCAGCAACTTTTGGGCAACTTCTCGTATTTCGGGCAGCTTTTTTCGTGACTGAGAAGGGGTCTATATTTGGCCACAGAATAGACTAAACCGTAGTACCGTAGGGGGTTCTGAGGAGCCAGCGGCATGTACCCAGATTAACCCAAAGCTGGAGCTCCTCCCCCAGAATACCAGCTCCGGTCCATGCACTCACTGATCCACCACAGAGTCTAGATTTATAAGCAGGCCTCTGACGTCGTCAGTTTTTATAATATTTTTATAACTGTTTAGACGATCACAATTGTAAAATGTTTGTCTAATACCTTTCTAATGACAGCTTTAGCTCTGTGAATCGTATGACCTTGCTCGTCTGGGACACCTGCATTGCAAATATAAAAAAAGAAGACAGCGTATATTACCAAGAACTGCCCAAAAGTGGAGGAGTGCAAATTGAAATGTTGATAGCTGTCAAAGGCCTTTTGTGAAGGCAAAAGACCTTATCACAGTTTTGGTCTCCATGATAACCGTGATAAGGTCTATGAAATGTAAGAATTAAAAGGCTAAAATAACGCGACTTACCATCCAAAATCTCCTGATCTGACACCGTGATTGCTGATCCTTGTTGTTCTAGTTCCCTCTCAGACTCTGTATCTGTTTGATGGAAGTTTAGATTGAAACACGTTTCAATACGACTGTTAATCGTCTCATATCCAACAAGCGCAATTGGAATAATTGTTAATTGTTAGATGAGTTTTTCCACTTCAGGTGTTTATGTTTTTCAGGGCATGCATGGGCGACCTTTGGTTGTGAGATAGGTTGTGAGTGTTGTGCCGGGGTCTCGTATTCACTGAGCACCCGTGCCTAACCCCTCACGGTTTGAAATTGGCAATGCCATTTGATCAACAGCTTGGTTACTAAGCCAATGCTGTTGAAATTAAAAAAAAAAAGGCGTCTGAAAGGCTCACCAGGAAAAGCGTCCTTGTTCTTAAGTGAGTATGTTTACGTAGCTTTCATACAATTGACTGGATTCAAGTTGAATCAAGTTGTTCTTATGCTAACTATTATTTTTGAAGGACAATTTTCATGGCAAAGAAGGAGGTTTGTATCAAAATAAGGTCACCTCCACTCTCGCTTCCATCCATAAGTCATAACTGTAAAATGTCGGCCTATTATAACAAGCAATTTGTTTACTTACCTGACACTTGGTTTTCCACCATTGCAGGTTCAGCATCAATGTTAGATTCTTCTACAGTATTATTAGAAGCAACAGCAGCTGGGTAAAGATTGGAGAGGTACATGTAAATATTTTGTTGTATTACTATTTGTTACCTCTCTTGAAGGGACACCTCTATTTTTAGAAAGGAAAAACCTGTGTTTAACCTCTTTACCATTCAGGGGATAACTTAGCACACAAAAAGTGACTGACCACGAAACCTGTTGATAAGTTTAAGGGTACATTTGTCATAATTACAACAGCTTGTCAATCATGAATTATCTCACGTACATCAATTATCATTTGTATTGTACTAGTTTTGGAAATTCAACATGCAACATCGCAGAAATACACGTTTGTTATTCATGATTTTGCAATGCTTTATCAAGCTGCTTAAAATTATGGCAACAGCAGATTTAAGGCAAAATGAAAGGAAAACATTTTATGCCTTTATCAATATTAACTAAAAACCCAACCTCCTCTTGCCTTGGTCCCGAGGGTGTCCCCTTTAATAGAGACTCCACTGTAATTAGTAAGGGTTATAGGAAAAGAGACCATGCAATGCCATGCCAGTGGATGGTTGCAGTGACATAATAATCACACAATCTTGTCTCTCATTAAAATAGGCCAACTGCGAGCTCCAAAAACCCTCACTTTCAAAATGAAGCTGGGTGCACAACCTTTATTGCGAAAATGAGTTTTATTTGCATGAGAATGA